TTTGAGCAGGTTTTGAAATAGCTGGTTTAGAGATAGCAGATTCTGCTACTTGAGTATATATTTTCTTCTGATTTGAAGAAAAAGATGAAGAAGTAGAAGATGAAAAAGAGTCAGTGACTGTACTAGAAGATTTCAATGTTTTTTGAATTGTATTTAAAATTTCAAGTTTGAACTTAATCACTTCTTGTAGTTGTCTAGTCTGAGTATGAAGAATTAACAGAACTTCTTCATTCTTAGACTGGCCGCCAGAACCATGAATTTCACATTTGATCCCATTTGGTCTGGTCTCATACATTTCTTGGCATGAATTCCGCTGGGACTGGCTATCAAAAAAACATGTAAAGTGACTATATATCAGATCTTAAAATGAAACCATGACTTGAAAAAAATGAGAAAGTGATCTCATTTAGTTCCATTTAGTTCCATTCTTGGCATAAAGTTACTATTTTTAGACATTTTAAGGTTTCTTTTAGACTATTTTTAATTTTTTAAAAAGTAACACTTTTTGGTAACACTCAAATGAGATTTAAAGTCATTTAAAGCAATAAAAATAATTTAAATTGAGAAGTGGAAATCATGGTTCCATTTGAAAAATGTGACAAGAGTAGACAGTAAGTCTCACTGAGACAGTATGAGACTACTATCTAATGTTAAAACCGTGTAATGGGATCAGTCGAATTGGTAATGAAACTATCAAAAAATCTGGTCCTGGTCCCAGACACGGTCACACGGTCAGTCTATTCATTCTTCTCACTCAGATACTGTTTTTCAAGAATTTTGCTTACTTTTTTCAGTTTCTGTATTTCAAGAACTTGTTATTTCTCTATTTCTTCCTTCTTTCTTCTCTTTAGAATTTCAATCTCAGGAACAGTATCTGAGAAAACATCTTTTTTCACATCAACTGAGTGTACTCTTGAACTCATTTTACTCACTGAATGAAAAGTTGATCAGACTGTTTCAATTGAGAGATTTATTAATCTATTTTCAAATGAAAAGTTGGTCAGACTGTTTCAGTTGAGAGATTTATTAATCTATTTTCAATTGAAAAGTTGATCAGACTGTTTCAAAAGAAGAATGAAAGACTTTTATATATAAAACATCTGATTTTTTTCATACTAGTTCAGTAACTAGGTTAGATTTTTGAAGAGAATCTAATAAATTAAAATTGATTTTTAAGATAAATCAATAAAATCTTTACAAACTCTTTCTTAAAATACAGTGAGAAAAAGTATGATATCAATTGATAATAAATCAAATAATATAACAGTTTTTAAGAGAAAAACTGACAAAAAATAAGTTAATTTTTTGCAGAGAAATTGATTAAAACTATTCAATTTTATTCTAAATTATTCAATTCTTCTCACACAACAAGTGTGCAACTCAAATCAGTTAATAAAGAGTATAAAAGAGAATTAAGTATTAATGAAAGCTCTTCAGTTACTGAAAAAGTAATTCTTACTTAAAAGAATATAAAATTATGATAGAAAACAACTCTGTTTTTAATTCTTTATAAGAATATTGTATAAAACTCAGAGAAAAATATCTTACTTTTTCAAGAGAAGTAAAAAACTATTTCTAAGATCTTTTTTTTTATATTAACTGCTACAGAAGAATGAGACAGAAACTGTTAAAATATACACTACTATATATTCTCTATCAAGACTTTCTCTCTTCAGAGTCTTGATATTATAGAGAATATAAGTCTGTTTCTATATAATAATATAAATATTATCAGCAGAATGTATAGAAACTGATTATTTATATCTCAAAATAGAAGACTTTGTTAATGATTATATTAATATAGAGTTAATTCTTAAATTCAATAGAAATCTAGTATTGCTGTTCTCAATCTCTTACAGAATCTATTGAATATTGAGATATTAAAACTGGATTTAATATATCTCACTATACAGAGATCAAAGACTCAGTCAGATCTTGAAATATACTGAATTTATAGTTATTAATATACTATTAACTTGTTCTATTAACTCATTATTCACTGATTATATATTGAGTACTGTTATCAAGGTATCTTTTTGTATTATTCTGTCAGAGATGAGTCAGATTGAGAGAAATAGTACAAGAGTGAGACTTGATATTGATGTCTAGATACACTGAAGATAGACAGAGTATTTATAGAGATTGCACTTCAGAAGTGTTTATTGATTATATACTTGATATTATTACTAAGGTATCTTTTTGTATTTTTCTGCCAGAGATGAGCCAGATTGGAAAGAATGATATGAGGATGAGACTTGGCATTGATGTTTTGAAATATCAAAGATAAACAGGGTTTTCACAGATATCACTTCTCAGATATCTTCACAATTACAGATCAGAGATCTTCCAAAATTGAGAAGATTGGCACATATGACTAGGTCTTTTCACCTTACAATTTGTATGGCAATTTGGCCCGGGGTTGTGGTGTGGTAGGGGAGAATGGGGGATACTCCCACACAGGAGTTTCAAACAATGTCTGGTTCACATTTGGCTGGATAACTCCACCACCACACGGGGTATGCAGTCAGCGATGGGGTCAAAATGGTTGTATGATCGAGGGCTTTTCGATGGATCTATCGGCGGGTTCTTATTCAAAAAATCGAGCGAGTTCGTGGTGGAGCGGTTGAATGAAGGCAGGGTGATGGCCCAATGCTGTTGTATATGCACACAGTCAAACACATTTTGCGGGATATATGAATTGTGCAACAAGCAACAGCCGCGAAATTTGATTATCAGGATTTCAAGAAGAGACTATTGAACTGCACTCTTACACTCACTCAACTTGAGCCTCTTACACAGTGACTTGAGACATTGAAGAGTTTTATGCCTGAGACACAGGTTTTGATGAACAGAAAAAGCTGAAAAAATCCCTCTCAACTGAGAAGCTCAGAGTGAGAGTCTGTTATAAGATTATCTCTATTCAATCTCAAAACTTTCTGCTAAAGTGTTATAGAGCAGATGTCTTACTATAGTTAATCTTTTATATCTGTGCATCTCTGCAGAAACTGCATGCACTCTTTTCAATATATATCTGAGTATTTTTCTTGAGCAAGACCTGACTGTGAGCTGGGTTATTGTATTGAATGAAGCATACAAAGTTTGATGATTTTCACTCTTTGATTATTGATCAAAAGTCTGATTAAGGTCTTGTACATGTACTTGTCAACAGAAGTTTATGCATTTACAGAAACTCTTCTATCAGCTGTCTGATTACAATATTATCTTACTGTCTGAGTTATTATCTCAATACAGAAGTTAATAATTTTCACTGCACTTCTGAATCTATACTCTATTATAATTGTTCATTATTTTAGCTCTTCTGAATAGCTATAAATTTTACATTGTCATTTAACAGCTGTTATGAAATGCTCATTCTTGCTTGAAACAAACCAGGCAACAGCTACACCCACAGAAACACATTGTGAAGAGAATGAGTTAATCTTACTCTTCAACAAAATCATGCATCTTTGAGTTGAGAAAGCCTTGTTATTCTGCCTCAGTGCCATCATTGATACAAACATGCAAGATGATGAGACAATCATGAATTGTTTAGAAGCAAGATATTTGAAGGTCAAAGTTCAGGCTTAACTAACTACTGATGATGAAAGAAGTGTTCTCTCTCTCTAATGAATTAAAGAAAATGTCTATGTGGCTAAGAGAGCTGGTGAATCAAAATCAATATTCTCGGGTAAAATAATTTAATTAAGCAATTATACAACATCATGTCCTCTCACGTGCTCACTGAAGCTAATTGAGAGCAGTGATGTAGCCCTAGTAATATTTATATTGAAATATTTGAAAAGTGAGTGTATAGGAAAACCAATGATCCGGCACTAACAAGAGCCTTGATTATATAGCTTACACTAGAAACATAAAAACGCCATAAAAACACATAAATACACTAAAATTGGAAGAGCTAAACCATACAAAGTCCATTAACTGTGCGCCACAGCGTACGGAAAACCACACCGTACAGAAAATATTATGAATATAGCAATCTTCAAAAATTAATTAATAACCACCACTCTGTCTATCTATAATATAAAGATCATCTATATGCTCGTTAGAAGGTGTAGATTAAGTTCTTTTTGAACACCATGCAATCATCCCATTAGTGTCTGGAGAGTGAATCAATGGTCGATATTGTCAGATATAGAGTACAAGAAATGTGTGCCTCACTGTGGTCTTTTAATATCAGATGACCTGGTCGAGGCACTCCGGGTTTAAAGGCCTCCAATCGAACTCGGCGGCGATCCATATATTCAGTTCCGCCCGGCATATTAACTTGGCCAACATTTAGCCAGCTACCTCTTTTCCAGATCCCGGGAATATGAAATAGAAATACTCACTGTGCCTGTGCCATCCTGAAACAAAATCTGGCTATCATCTCACGAATCGTAGGTCCAGCCTTCTCCAAGGAGAACAGAGCGTAGAGTCTCGCTCAAACTTAGCCTTTGTGGCAGTTATAACTATAAGACGCCTAACCACCATATAAAAATTCTCTAATTCCTGCCGTATGTGCGTCTACAATGTCTGAAGAAATTCGTATGTACTTGTAATTTAGTGATTCAAAGTAAGCGATGACTTGTTAGCCAAATTGGCCAAAGTGGGTGCTTCAAGCGGGCGCATTCAGAGGGAGAGGTCTGGGCGTTTTCTCGAAATACGGTTTGAGGAGATTGTATCCGAATTGGGATTTCCAAGTTCTGGAAGGTCAAAACTACGATCGTACGAATCTAGCGCTGCAGACAAAATAAAGCATTGCTACCTAATAACTCTTTATATAGCCAGCGAAATCTCAATGACATGATCCACAGGTCTCTGGGTCAGGAGAAAGACATCCTGAGCAGAACCTGTGTCTGCATAGAAGGGTTTTTCACTCTGAAGAGATAGTATAGTATATTGAATATTAATATTAATACTTCAGTTTCCTGATCTCAGTCTCTAGCTTGCAGATCTTGTTATTTTTTCTGATCAGCTCTGTATAGTGCTTGATTTCTAGCTCAGTATTTCTCTTCTTCAGATACTGTACTTCTTCTTATAGATCTCTGATCTTCATAAACTCTATTTTAAATATAATATGAATTTCTTGATTTACTGTTATCTATTCTAATATTAGTAAAGAACAAGTTCAGCTCAGCTGAGAGAAAGTTCTTATCAGAGCTATTTTTAAGTTAAGTATTTTATATTTCTTCAGCAGCTGTGATATTATGAATACAGAGAAATTGAGAAGTGCTGAATCATTAAACAGAGTCTCATACTTCAGAAGGCTATAGTTCACAAGGCATCTCTTTCTCTGTAGCTCTCGCGGCGGGGACCGAGGTGTCTCTGCATCTGTATCGTCATCGATGACGATGGCGCTGCGGGGTTCAGCTTCAGTATAAGCCATGGCTGAACAGGACCCCTCAGTGAATGGAGAGTGGAAAAGGAATTGAAAGAAATATGAAGTGATAGAGGGGGGAGAAGGCCATATATATACCCAATGGCTGAAGAAGAGGTCACAGGATTTCACCTCTTCATTGACATACAGCTTGTGTATCAGAATGGTGGAAAGGGCTGTTAATGTGAGATGTTGCTTCAGCTGCTATTCAGGACTGTTAGGAGTGAGAATAATGATGAATCTAGAGGGGAAGAGAGCCCTCTATATATATCAAGAAATAAGGCCAAGTCACAGGGTGCCAGTCTCAGGTTCCAAGGTTGCTCTCCCCAGGCATTCAAGCACGGCAGCCAACAATATCCGAGGGAGAAGTCTGAAAATAGAACTCATACAGCAATGGCGTCCCTTCCACAGCTGTCGCATGCGAATCACCGTGGGGCGGGACAAGAGGGTAGGTATCATTCGGCTGTGGCTGCGTACAGTAGAAGAGGGGATTGCATGGCAGTGCAATGGACAGAAGGGCTCGGCTTCTCCGGTTTTATTCAAGGCCATTCTACCCTCACCTGCCCACCAAGGGCTGTTAATGAACAGCCAGGAGAGGCCATCTTTAGGCCATCTTAATCATGATATCACTTTTATATATGTCTCACCACTCCAGGGCTGCAGATGCTACTGTGGCACCGGCGGATTCGACTGTACGCACTCCCTTCTCTTGTCTCTGAAGTGTAGACACCCGCTGGCGCAGTGCCAATTCCATTCTTTCTGGAAAACACCTCTCTATCTCTGGCCAGGGTCAGCACTTCTCCATCATGCTCAAAAGCTGTGTGTCATTCTCCAGGAGTTATCATCACAGCTTGTCTCTGTGACCCTTTCTTCTCTCACTGCACTCACACTGAGATTTTTCAATCTTGTGAGAAGCTGAGTGATCAGCTGACTGCACACTCTCATCTCTCACTCATATTGCTAGTGTTGAGTCAGGCATGCAACTCAACAAAGCATCTTCAAACAGTTATAAAAGAAACTGCAGACACTTGTTAAGCAGCAGTAATAGAAAATAAGAGTAAAGAGCTTTGAAAAAGCCTTCTATAAATAATATAGAGATAATATAAAGCTGCTTTATAGTTAGTTCTTTTAATTACTATAATTCTCACTTTCTTCTAAACTGTTCATTGCTGAGAAAGTCATCACTTATATTATAAAGATAAGATATATTAATATTAATATTATAATAGACAGAGTAAATCTACTGATAATTCAGAGTATAAGTATTATTATCTCTTTAAGAATTACTCTTTCAGTTATCAGATCTCTCTCTGAATTCTTAATAATAATAAAAAGTATTATAGAATATAGATAAGAGAGATTTAAAATAGAAATAAATAATTTTTAAATTTATAAGATTATTACTTTACTAAATAGACTAATAAAGATTATTAATATTTTAAAATATATTATTAATAAGAATTACTGAGTTAATAAGAATATTATTTTAAAGATTTAAAAGTCTGAAGAAGTCTTTTAAACTATTATTTAAGTTAATTATACTTAGTAATAATAAATTAGTCTCTATAATATCTCTCTTAAGAGAAGATAGTTCAGTCAGTATATTAAAAATATTATCTTAAATATTATAGATAGAAATAAGATATAAATTTTAAGTATAATATATAGATTATAGAGAGATAATATATTATATCAGAAATTCTTTAAACTGAGTGATAATATAAATATCTCTCTTGATTAAAAAAGAGAGTTTAATAGTATATATAGTTAAGTATTATTACTATTAGATATATAAACTTCAGCTGATGATTTTAAAGAAAGATTATACTTAAGAGATAGTAGAGTATTAAGAGAGATATTATAATATAAAGCTAAGAGAGAGAATTTTCTGAGTTCTGTAATATAAGAATTGAGACATTTATATAGTAAGAATAACTTAAGATACTGTAGTATTTATAGCTTAAAATTATTCATATAAAATATAAGAGCTATCTGAGAGTAAAAGATTGAGAATCTGAGAGAGAAGATTTTAAGTCAGAGATAAATCAGAGAAGTAAAGAGAAGAGTAAGTATTAAATCTACTGAGAAGAGTGTGTATAAGTAAGAGAAACAGATTATGAAATGCTAGTAATTCTGTAGAAGACTCAGTTACTCTTTATAGTTTCTCTTAGTACAGAGACTTCAACTGTCTCATTATCTCTTATATAGAAAAGAAAGTAATGAGATAAATTTCACTGATCTCTGAATCTTCTCTAAGACTGCTGATATATCTATTCTTATCAGAAAGTTATTTAAAGATTGATAATCAGTACTCTGTATTAATTATATATAATTATCACTACTTTCAATTCTGACATGCTGAGTATGCAATTCTGATAAATCTCTTCAGGTTTGACCTGCAGATATACACTGATATTAATAAAGAAGTGCAGCAATTTTACTATTAACTGAGAAAAGAAAATGAGACAGTCTGTCTTAATAAGTTAAAGAGTAATACAACTCTTTATCAGAGCTCAGTAAGTCTTCAGCTTTAAAAGACTCATCTGCTGATCTTTTCTATAATCTTAATTAATTATCATCTGTTGCTTTTCTGCACAGATTGCCACAGATGAAAGACATCTCAAGATAATAGAGAATAGAAGAATAGATCAACTGAATAAAACTGTGAGAAAAAAGAGAAAAAGAGAGACTAGAAGTGAAAACTCTCAACCTCTCAATTAAAAAGTAAAAAATTAAAATAAAAAAATAAAAATAAAAAGTAAATTATGAGTAATCTGCAGTTCACAGTTACTGATTATATAATATAGTGAAGATTATTATTATTGTAATATAACTACAGATATCTTAGCAGTCTAGACTTCAGATTAAGTAAAGTAACACTGTAAGAGATAATATAAATAACTCAGAAATTAATGAAGTAGTAGTCTGTGAGATTATTAAATATCTATTATACTGACCGCTGAGATCATGAATTTCACATTTGATCTTATTTAGTCTGATCTCATACATTTCTTGACATGAATCTCACTGAGACTAGTTATTAAAAAAACATGCAAAGTGACTATATACAAGATCTTAAAATGAAATCATAACTTGAAAAAAATGATCAAGTGATCTCATTTAGTTTCATTTAGTCTCATTCTTGATATAAAGTTACTATTTTTAGACATTTTAAGGTTTTTTTAGACTATTTTTAATTTTTTTAAAAGTAACACTTTTTGATAACACTCAAATGAGATTTAAAGTCATTTAAAGCAATAAAAATAATTTAAATTGAGAAGTGAAAATCATGATCTCATTTGAAAAATGTAATAAGAGTAAATAGTATGTCTTACTAAGACAGTATAAGACTACTATCTAATATTAAAACTGTGTAATAAGATCAGTTGAATTAATAATAAGACTATTAAAAAATCTGATTCTGATCTCAGACATAATTACATGATCAGTCTAATATCTGTTCAGTGACTTTATAAGTATAGAAAGAAAAGAGACAAGAGCTGAGTAAGACAGTACTATTTCTCTGCAGATGAGAGAAGACAGTGCATTCAGATATAAGTGAATAAGAGAGAAAGAGAAAGAGAGAGAGAAAGAGAAGAAGAGAGTATATAATTATTATAAAAGTATAGAACAGGTTTTTATAGATTGAGCAGCTGACTATTAAAGTAATATAATAAGAGTGTAAAAGTAGTAAGATGTAACATTATCTCTGAAGTAGTAACAGTGCTACTGTAACAGGTCTAGTACATAAGATAGATTAATAATAATAGTGTATAGTGAGCTGAGCACTCTGTTAATCAGTATAAAAAATACTTACTTATTTTCATCTTAGAAAAATAAGATAAGATTTATCTTTTTATATATATAATATATAATTAATATATATTATAGATAATATATACTGCACTTTTAAATTAATATATAAATATTATTTATAAATTATAAAAATAAAAATTATTATAAAAATGAAAAAATGAAAATAAAGTTTTATAAATAAATTTAAAATATTTTTATTACTTTAAAAAAATTATTTATATTATAAGTAATTTTATAAAATAATTAAATTACTTTAATAAATAAGAAGTAATTATAAATTATAAATTTAAAATTTTTTAATAATTATTAACTGAATACTTTATATAAGACTATATAACTTATATATCTATAAATAGACTGATTACTAAGATTATAAATTTTATATTTAATTTTATTTAATCTAATTTTATATATTTCTTAGCATGAATTTCACTAGTTAATTATTAAAAAATATATAAAGTAACTATTTATCAGATTTTAAAATAAGATTATAACTTAGAAAAAATAAGAAAGTAATTTTATTTAATTTTATTTAATTTTATTCTTAATATAAAGTTACTATTTTTAAATATTTTAAGATTTTTTTAAATTATTTTTAATTTTTTAAAAAGTAACACTTTTTAGTAATACTTAAATAAAATTTAAAGTTATTTAAAGTAATAAAAATAATTTAAATTAAGAAGTGAAAATTATAATCTTATTTAAAAAATGTAATAAAAGTAGACAGTAAGTCTTATTAAAATAGTATAAAACTACTATATAATCTTAAAACTATATAATAAGATTAGGTAAATTAATAATAAAATTATTAATATTCTGATTCTAATTTCAAATATATTATATAGCTAACTTAATCTTTATAATAGA